GCTTTTGCTCCTAAATCTCTCCAATGGACTGAGGGAGTGAATGTTTTGCAGAAAGTTTTATTATCTGATGTGATTGCGAAGGGAAAGGAATATGTGACTGACAGAGGCTATCGAAGCTTTGGCTGACATGTTTTGCTTTAAAGCAAATATATCTTTGCTGTCTGAGCCTGACCCAACAAGGACAGGAGAGGAGAGAACAAATAATCTCAAGGCTCTTCACTCCCTTTAGCAGCGTCTCATCGAGAAACTCACAGTATGTTTATCAGTCATCTTTTAAATCATCCCCGTCTGCTTCTAGAAGGGGAGACACTGTGAGATTTCTGTTCTGTTTCTGCTTTCATGAGACTACGAAGAGACATGTATTAAGTATGGCATTGCTGGTGGGAGCTACTGTGGTAAGAACCCATCGTTTATTTCCTGACCCTTCGGGTGAATAGGAATAACTGTGCGCTCTCAAGTTTTCCTCCAGAGCTTTCCTGACCTGGCTGTGCCTGTCAGGTTTCTGTTTGAAGCGGGGATGAATCTGCGGTGCCCGGGAAGCGGCTGCAGCAGCGGCGACCTGCGGGGGCCAGCGGTGGTCGGGGGGGGACTCGGATGGGGTCGGGAGTCCCGGGAGGGGGACGGGGGGGCTCACGCCACCGGCTTTTCTATCAAATTTCCTTGTCCTACTTCACTCTCCTCATAATTATCTAAGGAAAACAGATCCTTTTCTTACAGATGCTGACTTTTTTAAATCAGGAGGAGGCAAATTAATTTTGTGTACCAGGTCTTCTAAATGTCATCAGCAGGGTACCGATCTTTTGTTAACTAGTTCCTTTCAAATTGCATGCAGAAATTACAGTTATTAAAATTAGAAATGTGTGTATAGCTAAATATATGCTTGTTAGAATTAAAGTGTGTGTGTTTGCTATGCGAGCTGAAGAGGCTCTGCCGACTGCACAGTATATTTTGAGCCCGGCCAATTGCTTTCCAGCCTAAAAAGCCTGGTTAGCCGTAACCCAAACCCGGGCAGGCAGAAAAGGAGAATTCTTTCCACATTCTGTAGATAAACTAGTTAGTTCGTATTTTTTTTTACTCAGCTTAGTTGTGCAGCACTGAATTACAAATCCAGTCCTATCCCTCTCCCAGTTTTCTGTCTCTTACTTCGGGGAGGAGTTCCAAGGACTCACGGACAAGAAAAAGCAAAACCTCTGCTATAGGAGATTTCATTACTCTTCTCCCTCTTAGTCCTTCAGACCATTTATAGCAGAAAAATACTCTCTTTTTGTGTATTTTGAGGATCAAAAGGGACAGATTTAATGCAACTTTGAAATTAAGCTGTGCGCAGTAACTTTTCTTAACCAGCTGCATCTCTTGGTCAGAGGGAAACGGGAACTAAACTTCCCCAGAAGAACACCCCTCTCCTGTCCGTTTCATAGCTGAGGTATTTATAGCTTCCCCACATATACTGCCAGCACGGAAGGACCCATTTTATCTTTAAAAAGTGATTTAAAAATGTGTAAGTCACTTATGAGTTACCAGTGTTTCATTAGAACAATTATATGTCAAGTATTTATAGTGCCGCAGCAGCTAATGTAGGTAACCTGGAATTTACAACCAAAGTTATAAAAGTGGAAGCGGGGATGAATCGGCGGTGCCCGGGAAGCGGCTGCAGCAGCGGCGACCTGCGGGGGCCAGCGGTGGTCGGGGGGGGACTCGGATGGGGTCGGGAGTCCCGGGAGGGGGACGGGGGGGCTCACGCCACCGGCTTTTCTATCAAATTTCCTTGTCCTACTTCACTCTCCTCATAATTATCTAAGGAAAACAGATCCTTTTCTTACAGATGCTGACTTTTTTAAATCAGGAGGAGGCAAATTAATTTTGTGTACCAGGTCTTCTAAATGTCATCAGCAGGGTACCGATCTTTTGTTAACTAGTTCCTTTCAAATTGCATGCAGAAATTACAGTTATTAAAATTAGAAATGTGTGTATAGCTAAATATATGCTTGTTAGAATTAAAGTGTGTGTGTTTGCTATGCGAGCTGAAGAGGCTCTGCCGACTGTACAGTATATTTTGAGCCCGGCCAATTGCTTTCCAGCCTAAAAAGCCTGGTTAGCCGTAACCCAAACCCGGGCAGGCAGAAAAGGAGAATTCTTTCCACATTCTGTAGATAAACTAGTTAGTTCGTATTTTTTTTTACTCAGCTTAGTTGTGCAGCACTGAATTACAAATCCAGTCCTATCTCTCTCCCAGTTTTCTGTCTCTTACTTCGGGGAGGAGTTCCAAGGACTCACGGACAAGAAAAAGCAAAACCTCTGCTATAGGAGATTTCATTACTCTTCTCCCTCTTAGTCCTTCAGACCATTTATAGCAGAAAAATACTCTCTTTTTGTGTATTTTGAGGATCAAAAGGGACAGATTTAACGCAACTTTGAAATTAAGCTGTGCGCAGTAACTTTTCTTAACCAGCTGCATCTCTTGGTCAGAGGGAAACGGGAACTAAACTTCCCCAGAAGAACACCCCTCTCCTGTCCGTTTCATAGCTGAGGTATTTATAGCTTCCCCACATATACTGCCAGCACGGAAGGACCCATTTTATCTTTAAAAAGTGATTTAAAAATGTGTAAGTCACTTATGAGTTACCAGTGTTTCATTAGAACAATTATATGTCAAGTATTTATAGTGCCGCAGCAGCTAATGTAGGTAACCTGGAATTTACAACCAAAGTTATAAAAGTACAGAAGAGATTTCTAACGCGGTTCCCCTGAGAAATCAGGGGAGATGAGGATCCAGTGTACTGTAGCTGGTCAGGTCACCGTACGTCGCCAATCAGTCCTGGTAGAATGACTGTGGTGGTGGCGCTAATTGAAATTAAAAAGCAGAGAAGACAGTTTACCAGCGGGGAGAAGAGGAACAGGATGCATTAGCTTGGTCTCTTGGTTATTTGCCTGTATATATTTGGTGATTAATGAATGAAATGGTTCTCATTTTGCTGCCTCCTGTTTCGCAGTCCTGCCCTTTACGCAGCATTTCAGAAATGTTAAGAGATCCCCCAGTGCTGATGACGGGGGGCTCTGCTGCAGGAGCCCCCCGAGCCCGGGGACGGCCGCTCCGCCGCAGACCGGCGCTTATTTTCAAAGTGGTGCAGAGAAAGTTTGCAGTGCCGCACTCTGCCTCTTCCCCGCACAGAGAGCTGAGTCTCCAGGGCTGTCGGTCTGGCACTGTTAATGCAGCAAATTCCCTCTTTGGGGGGAGAGAGAAAATAGCGCGTAGTAATACTGAACGATTCTCTATCGGAAAATATCGTGGGATGTTCGCTCCGGTGCCATGTACATAAGCAAAGTGTCTCCTTGGGATAAGCATCACTATGGATTATTGTATGTTTTGTAATTATAAAACCTCTTCCGGCAGCAGTAAGATGCTTGCACAAGAGATTTCAATTGTCCTTTAGATAGTAAAATTGCATAGAAAGATACTCCACATTAAGGTGATGAATGTTAATGTGCTCTGAAGAGGAAGAGTAAGAGCGTTTCTGTGTGCAGTTTAGTCATTTTCACCAGAGATTGATTCCATCATTTTTTATTCAGTATTTTGATGGCCTGTTGAAATCAATAATGCTGCAGCCTTACTGGCTGGAGTGACAGCTTTCATATAATTAAAAAACTTCAGAGTAAAACTGCCTAGAAGGATACTGTGTAGAGGATATAATTAAGCTTTGAGGGGCTGAGTCAGTAGAATCAATGGAATTTCCATTGAGAAATCGACTTTTGATAGGGCCCCTAATGCATCTTATATGATAACGGCCCTTTTCTCCAGATAATTTTATGGTAGAGTTAGAAAAACATTAGGGAAGTGAACGTAAATACAAGTTAAAGCAAAAGTTAAATATTGTAAGAACTCCGGCCAAAGATCAAAAAGAAAAAGAGAATTCTGGGCTAGATCAGAACCACAATAATGACTCTAACTCCAAGAGAACGTGCGCTTCCGGTGGCTGAGGATCTGGACAACGCGGGATATTTTTCATCTAAAAATCAAGAGTGCAGTGAACATATTCCCTTTCAAACTAATAGTCCTCCAGTTCTTCAGCTGAAGGACTTCTGTCTCTGTTAGCCAGGAAATAACCAAGGTATCTTCCTGCTGGATGAAAAGTTGTCCAGCTTTGGAGGCTTTCCTCAGGCTGATGTTCTTGGTACTCCATTGGTAGCTTAATCCATCAGCTTTCACACCCGGGATACAGGCTTGCTGTTGCTTAGGTATTCTGAGCAACGTTCCCCTGAAAGTCAGAATTTTCCTCTGGTGTGGTGGAGGGATGCAACATTTCATCGGAGTGAACCCTATCTCAAAATGAGAGACACCAGCAAAAGACCGCTGCGGAGGTCAGGTCTTTAATTGAAGGTGAAAGAAAACTAACGAAAACTAGAGATGTTCTGTTTCTTTGAACTGAAAGTGTTCTTGGTGCAAGATTCATCGCATATTGAACTTTTTTAAGACTGGAAACCCAACTCAGTCCAGTCGTGGCTTTCATGGCATACGATTTCACTGGGTGAACTGTGAGCCGATTTCACTGGAGTTTCCAGCTCTTTCTTGACAGCTGTAGTTAAAATGATGAGCACATGAGGCTTACACCTGGGGAATTATGGATTAGTCTTGTTTGTAAGGAAGCAAATATAAATTAGTGTGTTTATGCTACTTTTAAAATGCTTTTAATGAGGAATCATTTGCTATTCAAAATTTCAATCTATAATAATGCCATAACCCCGCTGAGCTGATTATCAGGTGCCTTGTTTAACTTCATTCTTCCAATGGGAGATGAGGGCGGGCCAGTTGTTTTAAATTCTTGCGTACATACTGACACCTGACTCTAACACAATGGGGCAATACACCCCGCTTGACTGTGTGTTGTGTTTTTGTTTTGTTCTGTATTTTAGATGGGACTGATCTGACTTCCAACAGGTGTCGGGAGCAGCCTAACTGTCTTCTCCAGTAACAAGGCCCGGGGTCATCATGGGCCCCCCTGCCATAGGATGGATGCCAGTGGCCAACTGTCCCATGCCACTGGCTCCAACAGAGAAAAACAAGAGGCAGGATGAGCTGATCATTCTCAATGTGAGTGGCAGGCGTTTCCAGACCTGGAGGACTACACTGGAGAGATACCCAGACACTCTCCTGGGCAGCACCGAGAAGGAGTTCTTCTTCAACGAAGACACTAAGGAGTACTTCTTTGACCGGGACCCTGAGGTCTTTAGGTGCATCTTAAATTTCTATAGAACTGGCAAGCTGCACTATCCCAGGTACGAGTGCATCTCTGCTTATGATGAAGAGCTTGCCTTCTATGGGATCCTCCCTGAAATCATTGGGGACTGCTGCTATGAAGAGTACAAAGACAGAAAGCGGGAAAACGCGGAGCGCCTGATGGATGACAACGACTCAGAAAACAACCAAGAAGGGTCCATGCCATCCCTGAGCTTCCGGCAGACCATGTGGCGAGCCTTCGAGAACCCCCACACCAGCACCTTAGCCTTAGTCTTTTACTATGTCACCGGTTTCTTTATCGCTGTCTCTGTGATCACTAATGTCGTGGAAACTGTCCCTTGTGGCACGGTGCCTGGAAACAAGGAGCTTCCGTGTGGGGAAAGATATGCTGTGGCTTTCTTTTGCTTGGACACGGCTTGCGTGATGATTTTCACGGTTGAGTATCTGTTGAGACTCTTTGCGGCCCCAAGTCGCTACAGATTCATTAGAAGTGTGATGAGCATCATTGACGTGGTGGCCATCATGCCGTACTACATTGGCTTGGTGATGACCAACAATGAGGATGTCAGCGGAGCCTTTGTGACACTAAGGGTTTTTAGGGTTTTCAGGATTTTCAAGTTCTCTCGCCATTCCCAAGGCTTAAGAATCTTGGGCTACACTTTGAAGAGCTGTGCCTCCGAGCTTGGCTTTCTCCTCTTTTCCCTCACTATGGCAATCATCATCTTTGCAACTGTGATGTTTTATGCAGAGAAAGGGTCCTCGGCAAGCAAATTCACCAGTATTCCTGCTTCCTTTTGGTACACTATTGTAACCATGACAACACTGGGGTGAGTATTACTTTTTCTTTTACTGAGCAGCAGGCGAGCATGTACGAGGAGCTTGACTTGAGTCGCTCCTAAGCATTTGCCTGGGTGTGTGTTCGAAAAGGGGCTGGAACTGTTAAGGGCTTGATTGTTCTTTGCCTTACAACTTCTGCAATTTATGCTTATGTGAAGTTGTATAAAACAGAAAAAGCACTTACACCCACTTGACAAACGCTTGGCGCAATGGTGACTGAGTGCAGGAGGAGCAAGGCTGTGGAGTAGCAGGTCCTGTTTCGCACTCCTTCTGCAGGAGAGAAGTTAACATGAGTGCGAGGGAGCTGGCAACTAGGGCTTATGTTTTCAGATATTCATTCGAGCCATAGATTTTATGCAAAGTTGCTGATGTATATGTTGTCTCTTTTCGTGATGTCGGTCATTGTTTTTGCACTGGACATGCCAGGAACTATCGGTTTGCTGAATTCAGATGGTGTTGTGGGCCGCTATACTGAAAATACTCAGTGATCTGCAGGACATGATCTGGTTTTTACTTAATTGAGCAGGATACGGGCTTCTTGTCTGTGTTTAGTTTCTGAGTTTGTGAGTTTAAAAAGTAAAACGAGTGTGCTGTAGCAGTCGCAGCAGAATTTCAAACATTCCCATGGACAGGTACAAAGATAATGATATAAAAGCAAGGGGAATGTAGCCTGGAGGGCACTTTTTTCCCTTATATTTCATTTCTGTCTTACAGATGTTTCTACTGAGATTATAGATTTGAGCTTCTGTTGCTCTGAACTAAAACCTTTGTAAGCAGAATGACCAAACCCTCACCCTGATGGGGTTATGTAAAAGAAAGTAGGCATCACAGGCTGCTGCTTCAGGCGGTCACAAAGTTATGATCGAATGCAGTCTCTTATTTCCACACATCAGAACAATATGCTAAGTTTATAGTTACCGTGAAAAGAGTTTTCCCACTGGAGAGTTCACACAGTTTAATATTCAGATGTAGACAATTCTCATTCTTGTAATACCGTGACCACTTTTTCTCTAAACTGCTTTTGACTTTAAACACTTCTCTGTGCCTATTATACATGAACAGGCTCACAGTAGCACATTTAAATTATTAAAATCATAATTCAGCTGTCAGAAAGGCGCAGAATCTGAGCATATGACAACTGCAAGTCTGAATTTCTTCATTAAGTGAAAATGTAGAACATGTTTGTCATAGTCAGCAAAAGATCTCTTTTTCCTCCTTTTTAACATCTAAGCAAAGTTTGCAAGTTGGTATGGCAAAAGCTAAGGTCCTTACCCTGGAAAAGAAGTCAGTGCTTACTTAGAAATCACAGCTGGGCTGTAGATCCCAGCACACTCCCATTCTGTGGTTCAGCTTTCCATATTTTGACTGGTCTACTGGTCGGTTCCCACCCTCCTGTCCCCACCATTGTATCTGAGCAGCTTCAGAGGAAGACCTGTGGTTTGTTCGCGCGTCCTCCCCACGAGGGGAAAACGCATGAAAATGCTGTTCTGTTGCCTGGTTTCTGTTTAATAACGATCGCGCCTGTCTTTCTATCTACGCACACTTATGCACATTCACACGTGTGTTGTTATATCTTTGTGACAGGAAAGTTGGGGTCAAGGGAACGTTCCGTGTTGCTGGGGAACAAACCCTCGTTGTGAAATACACGCAGGACGTGCTGTAGAGCAATTGAGTCTCTATTCCCGTCGGTGCAGTGACTTGGTCTTGTTCTCTTCCCCCTCCTTTCTGAACGCATGGATACACAAACCAGAGTGCTCCTGAGGAGTTTAAAGTGTTCTCAATCTGTTGTAGTCACAGAAATTATAGATGAATGAGTGCCTTTAATGAGTTGACAAGAATTTAAAAAATTATACATTTAAACACGGTGTCGTAAGGGTTTATTGGAAAGAGACCTATAAAATGCTGTCAAAGCCTTAAAGCTTAAACTCCTAGTGTTACTGACTTGGGATTTTTGTTGTGGGATTTTAAGTAAAATAGGCGTTTCTAGCAAATAGTCTGTCAGCTAAGTTTGGTGTCATATCACAGACTTACAAGAAACTCAGAAACCTCGGTAACAGCAGACCCCAAAGAGCCCCTGTGCTCTCCGACACGACCCATCTGCCCACCACCGCCCTCAGCGCGTCCCGAGCGCTTCCCCCGCCACGCACCAGGAGCCCAACGCTCCCCACTGCCTTGCCCAAAACCTGTGCTAGGGAGAGAAGTTGTCACTGTGAGCCATAAAAACCTAATTCCTGCCAGAGCAGCGCTGCAGAGCTCAGCCAGACCCCCTCAGGGAGGCTCTTTTTGGGACGGGTCAGGACGGTGGTGGGGTCCCAGCCGGGCGGGTGCAGGGACAGCACCGGTGGAGCAAAGCTCCAGCAGTGCCAGCGCCACCCTCGGTCCAGCACCGGCTCTCACCCTCGGTCCGGCACGCCGGCACAGAAATTCATGAACTCTAGAAGTAAAACTTTTGGCCTCCGGCCGTTTCCACCCTCCCGACTGCCCCCGTGCGTGGGGGTGGTCCACATCCCCTTCATTTCCCCATAAATCCTTTCCGATTTGACCAATTGGCATTTTCATACAACATTTCCTGTACATCTCTCTTCAGAAGTCATTTCAATGTGTTTGGAAGGATCCTGTTACTAGCGAGCACTGGCAATTCCTATCACACCAGCGTTTCCAAAAATGCAGCCGAAGTCTCTAATGTGCCTCTTCATAGCCTGGACTTTGCCGGTCAGTGGTGCCAGTTCGCTGCTTGCGTGTCAGCAACGCTCAGAGCTTTTATGAATATCTTAAATATTTTCTGCCACTTGCCTTTAAAATTCAGCCAGCATTTAAAACAAGAATTTGTAACTTGTAATTGTTTTGAACTCAGATCTATACATATATGTACGTATTTTTTGTTTTGAACACTGAAACATTTCAATCCAGATAAGTGAGGTTTCCCTGACACTGGAATTCCACCATTGCTTGTGACAGAGTGCTTTATAAAAGCAATTTGGAACATGTAGGACAACTCTTCCCATCTTAGAAGACATTAAAAAAATAGCTCTGTTTATATAAAGGGGAAAGTTTACTTACAAAGAGAAACAAGGCTAGCATTCGGAAACCATTCACTCTCCTACTGTACTGTACATCAGCTGCTGTGATCCCAGATTCCTGAGTATCTTCAGGATACAACTGAATGTCCAGAGTGACCCATAAATGAAAAGCAATAAAAATGCATTTCTTCTTGAAGGTGAAGCACTGCATAAAACAGAGTAAGTGCTGCTTTTGGCGGGGTTACTATGCAAACCAGTTTTGAGAAATCCAGGATGACTTGCAAGCTCCTTAGGCAGTTAACAGCCCAAGGAGATAGGTACAACAGTTTTTCTGGAATGGGAAACAAAGCAAAGGAATTAAATTATACTGACCCTGCATCTCTGATCCCTCTGCTGTGCTCATCAGCCCTGGTTTAACAGAGGCTGGTTTTAATTTAGCACGATTTAAATTTTGCTCAGGAGGTTTTATAATGAAAGCATTATTCTTGGGTGCATCTTAAATCAATCTGAATTACTGAAACAACTATTCAAAATTAATTCAAAATCAGCTATCCAATTCATGCAGAAACATTTTTCTCAAGCGGCCAACAGCTACCCATCTTCTCTCTTAGCCTTGTCTAAAGCACCGGTACAGTAAATATCGGCTTTGCCCGGGCCCTGTCCTTGTTCTGCGGGAGGTTTTGGCCCCAGGACGCTCCGTGTCAGCAGTGCAAGCGCTGCCGAGCGCGGTGCGGCTTCCCATCGGTAGCATTCATGTCCCTCTCTTGGTTTGGAGCGAACTCGATACGCAATAGCCACCAGTTTTACATCTATATAGGGACAGTTTAATTATCATAAATTCTCTCACCTCGTTACTCGCGTGTTGGTTTTATTCACTTTTAGATAGCATTTGGTTGCGGATGGGGCAGCCCCGTGTTTCGCTGCCCATCAGCATGTGTCACACACACGGCTGCGGTACGAGACCTCCCTCCTGCTACTAAACCCCACACCGGTTTTGCCCGGAGTGCGTATTTTTCTAAGCTTTTTATAGCTGTTTTCATTTCACCTGACACCAGCAGTACGTTTCAGAGTCTCGGGCAGTGTCTGCGACCTGCAGCATAGGCAGCAAATTGTAGTTGTAAAAACCCAAGTGCCACATCTCCCTGCACCGTCCCGGGGCACAGGGAGGTTCCCGAGGGCTCTGCAGAGCATCGCCGAGTGTCTGGGGGATGCCCGAGCCGAGCACCGGCACCCAGAGCCGGCGGGGGAAAAGCCTGCGGTGCCTCCTGGAGGGAATCGGCACCGAGATCTTTGGGCCGTTTGCGTCGATAAACCAGCAGCACGGCAGACCAAGGAAGGGAGGTTGTTGATGGATTTTGTTCTGGTTTGAGCTGAGGGATGCGCTGTGTGGGATTTTCTATTGCCTGACGAAGGCTGAGCTCCCACAGCGCAGCGCCCTCGGGGCGGTGCCACGAGAATCTGTCTTCTGCCCGACTCTCTCCCTTACAATTTGCAAGAAGATAATGGTTTCGAGGACGATGTCCCTCTTTCAGATTCGGCTGCGCTGGTCAATGAGTTTGAAAGATACACATCAGTGCACTTGGACAACAGTCCTATCTCTACAACTCATTTAAGGAACCAGGTTAAAGCCAGCAAGTCAATAAGACAGACGTGCTGGCCTGGTTATGTCAACAGCCCCATCTGGAGCGAGACCTGCAATGCCTTACAGTTTTTATTAGGTGAGCGCTCAGGAAGTGGGGATTTGGGGGCAGGCGTCTATTTTGGTCTGTCTTGGCTCAAGCTGGTACCCCGCGGTTCGCAAAACGTGGGTTGGTGAGAGCACGAGAGCACGGACAGCTGACCGACCTCTCTGAAAGAACCGTCATTCTCAGGTTTGCTTAGTTCTTGGGCTCACTTGTTTATTGGTATTCCATCACGGACAAGAAAGGGGATGAAATTTCAGTAGTGAAATAGCATGTGAAATGCTTGCT